TCATCAAGTCCAGCCCCCTGCCCCAGGGGCAGGAAGTTGGCTGGGGTCATAGGATCCCAGCAAGAAGAACATCCAGGTTTCTCTTGAAGGCGTTCAAAGTAGGTGCTTGAACCACCTCTGGCGGCAGGCCATTCCAGACCTTGGGGGCTTGGACAGTAAAGAAGTTCTTCCTTATGTCCAGCCTGAAACGGTCTTGCAGGAGTTTATAACCATTCGACCTTGTAATCCCTTGGGGCGCTCTGGTGAATAAACGTTCCCCCAGGTCCTGTTGAACACCCCTTATAAACTTATAGGTGGCCATCAGGTCACCCCTGAGCCCGCTCTTTTCTAGGCTGAAAAGCCCCATGGCTCTTACCCTCTCGTCATAAGGTCTGTTTTCCTGATCTCTGATCATGTGCGTGGCTCTCCTCTGGACTCTCTCAAGCTTCTCCACATCCTTTTTGAATTGTGGAGCCCAAAACTGAATGCAGTACTCCAGCTGTGGCCTCACCAAGGCTGAGTACAACGGGAGAATGATGTCCTGGGATTTGCTTGAGAAGCATCTATGGATGCAAGCCAGCGTTTTGCTTGCTTTACTGGCTGCAGCATCACATTGCAGGCTCATGTTCATCTTGTGGTCAGTCCTGACCCCCGAGTCCCTCTCATCCGTAGTGTTAGTCAGCGTAGCACTGCCAAGCCTATAGACATGCTGCAGGTTTTTCCTCCCAAGGTGGAGAACCTTGCATTTTTCAGTGTTAAACACTATCAGGTTCTCGTCTGCCCATTTCCTGAGCCTGTCAAGGTCAGCCTGGATCACCCTCCTGTCCCCAGGTGTGGATGCTTTACCCCAAAGTTTGGTATCATCAGCAAACTTGACCAGTCCGCTTCTGACTCCAATGTCCACATCATTAATGAAGAGGTAGAATAAAATAGGTCTAAGGACAGAGCCTTGAGGGACCCCACTGGTCACAGGGCACCACGACAATTGACTTCCGTCAACCACCGCCCTCTGGGTCTGACCACGGAGCCAATTCCCCAGCCGGCGGATTGTGGTGGACCTGAGGCTGCCGTTGGCCCGTTTTGCCAAAAGGTGATCATGGGATACCAGATCTACAGCTTTTTTAAAGTTGAGATATACGACATCAATTTCTTCTCCCTTGTCCAGGTGATGGGTCACCTGGTTGTAAAAGGAAATGAGATTGGTCAAGCCAGACCTACCCACAACAAACCCATGCTGGCTGTCCCTCAGGGTGTTGCCATCAGCCAGTCCGTTAAGAATGGCCTTTTTATTAATCTTTTCTAAGACCTTCCCCAGGATAGAGGTCAGGCTTATGGGCCTGTAGTTTGCTGGATCCACTTTCCTCCCTTTCTTGAATATAGGCACCACATTGGCCTTCTTCCAATCATTGGGCACTTCTCCAGACCGCCAGGAGCTCTCAAAGATCCATGCCAGGGGCCGAGCTATGATGCTAGCCAGCTCCTTGAGTACTCTGGGGTGTAAATTGTCAGGACCGGCTGACTTGAAGGTGTCTAGCCTCTCAAGCTGTTCCTTCACAAGGTCAGCATTGATGGAGGGCAAGGAACCACCCTCACTTAGGCGTCCCTGTCTCGTAATGGGCAGGGACGTCCCATGGGACTTGTGAAAGACTGATGCAAAGTACCCATTTAGCAAGTTGGCTTTTTTCTGGGCATCGGTCATCAGTTCTCCGTTTTGGTTTAGCGGGGTCCAGTGTTGCCCTTGCTTTTCCCCCGGTTCCCCACATATCTAAAAAAAAGACTTTTTATTGTCCTTGATACTTGTAGCCAGTTGGAGTTCCATGGCAGCCTTGGCTTTCCTGGTTTGCTCCCTGCAGGTCCAGACCAGTGCAGAGTATTCCTCCTTGCTGGTGGATCCTATCCTCCATCCTTTGTAGGTCTGTCTTTTTAGAAGCAGGAGGACCGCTAGTTGCCTGGAGAGCCAAGGGGGCTGCTGTACCCTCCTGCTGCCTGTCCTCCAAGACGGAATAGACTTAGCTTGTGCATCTAGAATCGCTCCCTTGAGGAGCAATCACTCTTCCTGGACTCCCCTCCCTTTGGGATCGTGGTCCCTTTGGGCTTCACTGACAAGTCTCCTGAGCTTGTCAAAGTCAGCCATCCTGAAGTCGAGGACCTCTGTACTGCTGACTGACTTGACATCTTTTCGGTGGATGGTGAAAGGTGATCAGCTCGTGGTCGCTGTCACCCAGCTTCCCTTTGATTGTTAGGTCGCTGATTAGGTCGTCCCTGGTTGCCAGTACCAGGTCAAGCAGTGCTTTGCCTCTTGTTGGCCCGTAGACTTCTTGAGTCAGATAGAGCTCATCCATGCACTTGAGGAAGCTTTGTGATCGTTTGGATTTGGCCAAACACTCTTCCCGCGATATGTCCAGGTAGTTCAAGTCTCCCATGACAACCATGGACTGGGAGCATGCGGCCTCAGCCAATTCCCTGGCGAACTCCTGGTCAATCTCTTGATTCTGGGAGGGAGGTCTCTAGTAGACTCCCACCATTGTATCTCCTGTGCCGTGTTCCCCACAGATTTTAACCCAGAGGGTCTCTAGTCGTCCACCCTGGGTGCTGATGTCGGCTCGTAGGGACGCGTAGCTGTCCTTGACATAGAGCTACACCTCCGCCCCTTTTGTCCACTTGATCCCTCCTGTACAGGGTATAGCCATCTATACCCATGGTCCAGTCATAGGTGGAGTCCTACCAGGTCTCCGTTATCCCTATGACATCGTAGTTGTTTGTGTTGAGGAGGAGGACAAGTTCCTCCTGTTTATTCCCCAAGCTCCTGGCATTGGTGTACAGGCATGCAGGTGTCCCCTTGGGGGCCCTTGCCTTGCCCGCAGCTTGCTTTACGGCTGGGGCAGGGGTAAGCTCCCTTAAGTGCCTTGGCCTGCTGGCTTTGCAAGGGTTGCTCAGCAGACCAGCAGTGGCAGTAGTGCCCCCCCCCATCCCCCGCCAGGCTTAGTTTAAAGCCCGGTGGAGCAGGTCAGCCAGTCTGGCTGAGAAGAGCCTCCTCCCCAGCAGAGAGAGGTGGAGGCTGTCCCTTCCCAGCAGCTCACTGCCTCTCTCACCAAAAAGCGGGCTGTGGTCATGGAAGCCGAAGCCTTCCCAATGACACCAGCACCGCAGCCTTTGGTTCACTACCTGGATCCTGCTCTCCCTCCTCAGCCCATAGCCTGAATCCGGAAGGATCGAGGAAAACACCACCTGCGCCCCCAACCCCTTAAGCCTCACTCCCAAATCCCTGTAGCGCCTCATG